TATTGACTTAAAACAAAATTATTAACTGCCGTTCGTCAATGATCATTGACGGATTTTTTGTTGGTGGACATTTGCTCAATTAATTTTCCATTATTGTTCTTGAGAAGGCTCCATTACTGATTTTTCTCAAGGCTCGAAAATTACACGAGCCGCCTTTGGAGATTAGTTTATTTGTCGTACAAAATACGATATATAGCTTAAGACATAAAACTCAACACGTACTTCACATATATGTTTGCTCTTCCACTGTTTATATATGTCCTAACTCTTAAGTCATATATTCTTACATTTTGAATGGAATTGTATATAAGCAATAACACACTTACTTTTTCCTTGCACACACTTGTTCGATATGTATAATTATTCGAAACCATATTTACACTTTTATTATATTAAGATATAAGTTTAATTAATTGTCAAAATTCTCATATATATTCTCACCAAAATCGAGAAATAACACGTGCTAAAACATCACAGTTTACAAAACTATCGTGACTCCAAATATATTTCCAACAAATTGGAGAATAAGACGCACTAGAAGAACATCATAGGATGAATAGCACTCTGAAGTCCAATTATTTTGTTCTAAATGACTTTGATTATAGACCAACCTGCTCGATCGAACATGGTGCAGGATTTTATTTTCATTTTCATTTCTCTCTTTGGCACCTTAGTCCAAATTAATAAAGAAAGAAAAAGGAAAATTCATTGCGTTTGCCGAGATTCGAACCCGGGTCTATTTCTTGGAAGGCAATTATCCTAATCGTTGGACTACAAACGCCATGTTGTTTCTTTTTTCACCACTGCTGTCTTTTCTCAAATAATTATTTTTCCAATTATCGGAATTCTAGTCATCTGAATAGTGGATTTGCCCAGATTTGAAAGTCCAGGCCTACCTTATACTGTAAATCTGTAACTACACCTTCGTAATTCCAAATCTCACAACTCCTTCCGCAATACGCCTATCTCTTCGTTAATTAGTTATACAAGCCGCAAAGAGCGTATCTTATTCCGAAAAGACGAGTTATCAGCTTTGTTCAAGAGTTGTTTTGATTAACTTTGTGGTTCTACCTAATAATTCCAACGACCGGTCCTTTGTTAGGTGGCGCTTACTTACCATTAAGTATATTATTAATTTATTATTTTGAAAATTTACTCTTTTCTTTTACAAACTTGTTCGATATTTATAATTGTTCGAAACCATATTGAAAATTTTATTATATTAAGGAATAAGTTTAATTGATCGTCAAAATTCTGATATATGTCCTCACCAAAATCGAGAAATAACACGTGCTAGAACATCACAGCTTACAAAACTATCGTGACTTCAAATATATTTCCAACAAATTTGAGAATAACACGCACTAGAAGAACATCATAGGATGAATAGCACTCTGAAGTCCAATTACTTTGTTCTAAACGACTTTGATTATAGACTAACCAGCTCGATCGAACATGGTGCAGAATTCTATTTTCATTTTCATTTCTCTCTTT